CGCGCTCAATCAACGGACGCTTTTTATTCCACTAATTTATTCGCGCTTTTCTCGTTGCCATGTTCCCACCAATCACGTAGCTCCACTTTCTGCCTTTAAAATCACACACAACCCACAATTCCTCTATTCGCTCCGAAGAAGGGTTAATGCTCGAAACGTCAGCTTTTATAACCGTAACAGTGGCCAATTTAGCATTTCAACTTTGTTGATATTTTCAAATTATTTCGTTACCCCCACCGACGCAGCCCCAAACAGTTTCTTTAGAAACTATCAGCCTTTATTCTCTGTCTGTGGTCTTTTTGTTGAAGATGCGTAAGGTTTCAGAATTTTGCATGGCTTTCTTGTTGGCAATACGAAAAATGAGCAATGCTGAACAGATATATAACGCATGGACAATCCATTACAAGACAAAAGGAAGTAATTTCCCCACTGGTGGATTAAAGAAAAGCTAAAATTTGTGTCTCGTGGTTAGGATACAAGTAACATGAAACTGAATAACATTTTATTCGTCAGATTTTCCTGTAGTGAATACTGTGAATATAACAATTTAGCCACTGGTATACATCGCCTGGTGTAGTTTTGCTTTTAACTTTGGAAGAGGCACATGTTGAAAGACAAAATTGGCGTCTAGGAAGAACAGGGCTTAGCTCTTTTAGAGGCGCTTCCTAGGGTAGGCCCCTCCCTCCGAATTTTCTGTTTATTCTGTTGTTATGTAACAGTCGTCAAAGGCTATTTTCTCTTAAGATATCTTTCTAAGTATGATTCTAATTCTGTCAATAAGTAGTCTATAATTTTTATATTGCCAATCTTGTCTTCGTTTTAGCAGAAATAAACTGGAAATGTACGAAATTTAAGATAGGAAATGATTTGTGAGCGTAAACATCTCGAAGGTACATACTTAGTATGCAGGAACCGTTTCCGTAACCTAACGTGATTCGCTAGCTAAGAGAGAAATAATGACGATGCACGAAGATTGACAGCTTAGTCAGTGTCACCTTTATAAGCCGGTGACCAATATTCTCACTCAGAGCTGAGTTAGACCCTTAGGTAGCGTATTAAGCTGTGTAGAGTTAGCAGAAAACGAATGAAGAAGTATCAACTGTACTAGGAGTGTTAGAAAAATATCTTCTAACACACCCCATTATCTTAAACCTGAGCCAGGCACGAATTTTGTTCGTCTCACTGAGATGATTATTCATACTAGCTGCGTGGGTTTAACTGTTTCAGTAGAATTGTCGAAACCCATCCGGATCCAAAAAATATTTTCTCAAATCGATTATAAAGTAAACGCTCTGAAAAATTATTTAGGAGGCCTATCTAAAACCTGCCACTGAGGCCAAAATTGACCACAAAATCACTGCTTCTATTATCATCCAAGAGGCATGGCTAAACGGTATTCAGGAAACAACTTTTTAAAGCAAGAAAAATGAAATAATCTCTGAATTAGTACACATATTCAAATATTTCAGCCTGCATAGCGGGCTTTTTCTTAAATTTTGAGCTGCTGGAGTCGTGAAACGGAAGCGGCAAAGCTGAGTTTACCACTCGTCTTTTTTGGCTCCGTCGAGTGCTCAAAAATCCTTCAACCAAACGCTAAGTTCTTTTTACTTCATACATTTTAGTACAGGTGCTTTAGATGGGGCCGGGAAAGAAATCACCTGATTTTAAAATTCGTATGGTCTCTCTTCGATATTCAGTTGCTCTTGTGAAAGAAATCGAGTAGGGCTGTCTTCCATGTTGGGGATTCCTGCATGGATGGCAATTTACTCATCGCCAATCTTCAGTTCTCTCTTCATATTGCGAAAGTCTTCCTCTGGTGAAAAACCACACAGGCAGTAGATTAATTAGTATTCAGTCTCATGTCTATTCTTCCCCAGTTTTGAGACCTATTGACGCCCCACACAACTGAATCAGACAGATGTTTGAGCGCGGGGGAAGTGCTTTTCACAGTTTTCTATTCAAGCGCGTCATGAATTGACGAAGGATGAGGTCAGAATGACAAAGTCCATTTTTTTTTTCCGAAATGGGATGACTTGGAAAGTTTTGTCGACAAAGAATCTATTAAATTCCAAAAGATTACACAAACGAATTCCAAAATAAATTCACGAGATTCGCCTTTTTTGTCATTAAAACTGTCGGAGAAGTAATTCTTATTAGATATTTCTATTCGTTATCAAATGTGTGAGATGCTGTGGCTAAAAGTAATCAATTCTGTGTAGTTGTGTTCAAGAGGGAGATTTGGAAATGAATATATACGACATTTCTTTAAGAAGTTTCAGGCATAGTAAATGAATAACCTAAAGCAAGATAGATATATGAATTCTTGACTAAACCGATTTCTTACCCACAAAATAGAAGGAAATTCCCTCAATGACATCTACGCGTTTCATGTCGCGAAAATTTATGAAGAGCTGATACAGAGTAAAATTTGGTCTTTGTCTGACAATCTCTTCCAGCACCATTGCAGTGGGACTTTCGCCACAAGGCGGCTGAAGGCTCTGGGATAATTCGCTGGGCACACCGCAGACATTGGCCAGATTCTTGTAGTTTTTACGGACTTTATTGGTAGTATCATTCAACATACTGGTTACTACTTGCATCTTATCCAAATCCTCGCACAAATCTTTAATTGTCAACGAATCTGACGGAGAAGATTATGACAATCGATAACCGCTCATAATGATAACTCGTCTTTGTTGGGGTTAAAGTTACATGTCCAACGTGCAATAGATGTAATATTTATCCAAAGATTCCACAGACTTATTTTTATACGGGAGGGAAGGGAGGCCCTTCCAAATTAAAAAACAAGATATATGGCACACTTCATGTTTTTGTCTCTCTTTTAATGATCTTTCTCCAAAAAATATCGATTACCTTACTTGTATTAAAATTCGCGCAGTACTAGAATTCGCGCTCAATGTAAGTGCGCGAAATTTCATACTGCGCCAAATATAATCCCCGCGAAAAGGTTTAAATCAAATATTAACTTCATTGACAACTTAAGAATTTAGAATTACGCAATGTACTACGAAATACTATTACATATGGTAATATAACAACAGTTAACAGTATCACTGGATACTAAGGAGTTTTTCAGTGAGAATTAGAGGTTGGTGTTTAAAAAGGCAAGTTATCCGTTCTATTTATGCGTACACAGATTACCATCAAAAATTAGAAATAAAAAATGACTTCATCATCATCTTCTTCAACCTGAGAAATTTCTGTCGGGATTCTTTCTGGTTCCATGTAATATTCCACCAAAAAATACACCAGTATTTTCTTCACTAATTACTTTTATTGTTAATGTTATCATATGCAATACCATCTGTGTAAATGGAATACAAATAAATTGTTGTTATCGCTGTTGTTGATTTCACCTAACTGAACAAACCATGCGACATTCTTCTGTAGTCAAACAAACAAAAAAAATTGCGTGAAAAAATGTGCCAGCAGCGGGCGGTGAAAAACTTGCTTTAGGTTAACGCGAATTCTGTGGTATTCTTTAATTGTGTTATGACAAAAAGGTTAACTGCATCTGTTAACCCTAGTAAAGAAACCGAACAAGGAAAATGTCCCGCGCGAATTTAAAGCTGTGCGAATAAGTCCTCTATAAGGTGCGCGAAATTAAATCGCGCGAAATTCAAACGGAGCGAAAATGACTACCACGCGAATTTTAATACAAGTAAGATATATCATTTTTACCTCTCATTTACCTGCCACAAAAAAATTTCGTTGTTTGGTTAGGCAGGGTGTATGGTAAACATGACGACATTTTTTTTTTGCCAAATCTTTGTGAAACCATTAGTCTTCAAGTGGCTTTTTGTTCATTGGAACACATACGTAATACTACGAACTAATTGCAAAGTCGTAGGTCGGGAGCACTCGGAGTTCTACTGAGTATGCCTGTGTCATTCACTGTGAACATCATCTTTCCGCTTTATCGTTTTTATCGTTTTTATCAATCAATTCTACCTCACCACAGCTGCCAAAAGCTACGCGGGTATATTTCCTTTTGGTTGTGTTTTCCGAACCTTCTACCGTACCTGTGCTCAATGCCAGACAGCTCCGCGTAAGACAGTGTGATAAACAATTTAAGGACCGCAGGCGGCCGAAGCGTATACTGTGTGTGATTTTGAGGTCTGAAGGTGATTATCGATAGTACCCCACATATCAAGACCTATTTTTTGGTGTAAGCGTGGGCTGTTTTAAAAAAGGAAAATCTTTTTGAAAATTTGAATTTTTTATTTTTACGTTCACGAGTCATAAAAGAAAGAAAACAAAAAAGATGAAGATAATAGTGAACAAACACCAAGGTTGATCTTGAAGTTTGAAATACGAGGTCATCGACAAGGGAGCAGAAGAGTCGTATTCAGCTGCATTGCTGACTGAATTCATCCAATCACTGTAGCACGCCACGATTTTGTTGATTGGCCGTCAATAGACATTCCATACGATCCGGCACTATGCCCAATGTCATGGCTGGTGTTGAGCCTACAGTAGTTACTCCGTGCGGTTTTCGTATTGCTTATACGATAAGACGGGATCAGGCCTGAGACCGGATAGACGGGAAACCTGCTCGCGCAGAGGCAACGACCAATAGCCTCAGCGTGTGAGGCAAGCAATCAAACGCCCAATCGAACCACCCTCACCACTACGTTCAAACATCGGCGAACTTCTGCGGGAGCTACATCTAACCAAGGGTACGTGATACGTAGCTTTTTGTTACACTCTAATCATCCTGAATCGATTATTAAGGTATGGCTAAATGCCTGGCAGCCCGGCACGGTCTCAAATAGACTAATTGCCCGGCAGTTAGACATTTTCACCGAAAATCCACTGGAACGTTCCCTCAAACTTCTTAAGAATATTAAATGTGTGTTTAGATGTGTCAAGCGATTCCAAAAATCAATTTGGTTTTTTCAAAAGACAAATTCTTCGAGCTTGTACATTCCATATTACCGCCCACCTATGTAAGAACAGCTTCAAGTTCAGTTAATATGAAGGGAAACAACACAGAAAACCTCAAATATAGCTGTTGAGAAAATGCGATGTTTGTTTAGTTATCCCAAGTGACTCTTAAAATTATTTTGGTTTTTAGTGGACAAATTTTCCGAGCTTAACTATGGCTTAGCGAACCACAAAAACACTTCATCAGACTACCGAGCACGGTCTCAATCAGACTAAATACCCGCCAATCGGAAATACCACCGAATTACCCGAGAGAAGTTGTACTGTTATTCAGGGTCCTAAGTTGTGACGGGGTGCTGCGAACAAGATAACATCAATATGCATGTTCTGAATTAAAAACATCTTTAAGTATGCACTGGAACGTAAAGTGTTACAATGTGTCTATTTCTACCAGAACGTCTAGGGTGATGTTTTCATTCAGTTTTGTTGGGCGGTCCAAATCCATAGAGAGGGGTTCAAATCTGCTGGGGGATTTGGACAGGGGGGGGGGTCCAAATCCCCTAGGACTCCAGCAGTCTGATCAGAAGCCTAGAATTGTAAGTGTTGACAATCGAGCAATGTTATAGGTGCACGAGCTCACATAATGCATCCACTAAGAAAACAAATAAACTTTTGGAATTGCTTGACATTTCTGAAAAAAGTCTCATATTATTAATAAGTTTGAAAGAATCATCCGATAGAAATTGCATGAAAATTTCTGACTGTGGGGTATTTAGACTATTTGATAGGATGCCCAGCTGCTGGGCAATTTAGTCACAGCTGGGCTAAGAGAAACACAGCATTGGGAGCAGGTACTTATTTATTGATAGCTGGAACTATGGAAGACAGCAGAAGATGATGAGTATCTCAAACTCATTTCAGAATTGTGTGCAATTTTAAAAAAACAAAAGTTGTCCTTGCAGAAATATCTTAATTGGTGCAATCTGCAAATCAAAAAGCTCAGAGGAAATTGTCTTTTCTTAAAGGAGAGAACAGTTTACTTTTTAAATAATCCAATTATCTGAATCCGAAGATAAAATGACCTATAACCTTCAAGTCAAAAGATGATAAACATCTCAAAATAATTTCACAGCGCCATCCACCAATGCATAATTTAATGAGCATAGATGTGATCTGCACTTAATGGAATCCCAAAATAGCTTTGTATGCAAAATGACAATCAATTTACTTGTTTGAGATGTGTTAATAATGGTATGTTTCACCCCTCAGGGATGCTTCATTCCTGTATAGCTGTTTAGGCCTGAAAACTGGTGTAGAATTTGACATAATGAGGGTGTGGTTTTCTAGTGATCCATGAGAGCATCCAGATGTATTTTTCTTTTCAATTCCAAGTGAACAATGGAGAAAGAGAAGAAACCAAAATGTATCTGTTCTGCATTTTTAGTGCCACTTATACCAACCAAATATCTTCCTTAACAGAAAATCTCTTTGTTTTTTCTATAACAAAGTTAAAAAAAATATGGTTGCTTCTATTTGGCTATTTTTTTATGAATTTTCAAAGATCCCAGACTCCTGACTTCATCCAGGGAATTGATTTATCATCATCATTCATATTATTTAGTGAGAAAGCTGGCACTACAACTTTGCAGACAATTATAGAATTAATGCATCAGTCAGCAGCTTTCCCTTGGGGCCCACCCTGGGACCCCTCTGGGATTTGCCCAAATGCCTATTCAAATCTTATCAAATACCCAAGGGTTTAGGGCAGAGGAATCTTGACAAATCCCCTGCCCCCTGGGTGCAACATTAAGGACCAGTGGTCCCGTTAATGCACAAATGTACAAATTTTACACACAAAAACCAGCTATTTGCTTTGCTTAGGCCCATTTTAAACATTAAAATTCATACGTGCCTAACCTAATCTAATGCAAAAATAGTAGTGTTCTCACTCATTCGCATTAAGTTTGGCACATATGAAATTTGATGTTTAAAACAGGCCTTAGACCTTCATTAAAGTTTGTTTCATTTCAGTGCAGTTGGCTCCACTTGACTAAATAGTTGAATTGTATATATATATTTTTAAATTTCCTTTCAGTTTTTGAGGGCCCTTATATAAACAACTGAGTTATCAGTATTCTACCTTCAGTAAATAGGGTTCCTTTCTTTCTTTCGTTTTTCTTTCTAAAAATGGAGAAGAGATGTCTGGTTTTGAGTGCTGTGAGTCTCTGGAATGCGCATGAAATTTGGTGAATTGGGTACTACCCAGGATTGGACCCCTTAAATTCAAAACAGACCCTCCATTTCAGGTTGCATGAGTTTCCATGGCCCCTAATTTTTAAAAGATTTTCATGAAAAAATATTACTAACAATTACAACTTGAACGTACCACTCATGTCTTCCAGTTTGGTATTCACATCTTCTCTTTCTATATCTGACAAATGTTTCTTGAATGTGCCCATCAGCATTGTTGGGTTTGATCGAAAAATAATTTCTATCAAATCTTGGGCTGGGTTCTGATTTTGATTTGCACAACTTGTCACTATGTGAAGTAGGTTGTCGCGTCCCACACCCAAGATGAGTCCCAGAGTGTGCCATTGCTCAGTTGGTAGATGGTCAAGCTTGAGAAAAACTTTGCTTAGGATGATTGGAGGCTGTGTTTCTAAAAATTCTCCAATCTTTATGTTATCTACCAATGGGAAAAATTAAACAACATCTAGGAACCACCATAAGAAAATTTTTTAACTTTTCCTTTCTGTTAAATTTCAGTAAAATGCCTTATCATTTTACTAGGACCTATTTTTTTAACTGTCTTCCATACGTGAATTTTTTTTCAGTCTATTTTCACTCCATGAGTTTGATTTTTAAACAAAGGCCAGTTTTTAGTAAAGTATGGGCAGAAGTAAAAAGGTAGATTCTTAACACTTGGAGGAAAGATATCTAAGCACTCACTACAGTAAACACCCGCATATAAGAACACATGGATTAAGAACATCAGGCTGAAATTTTGCAAATAAAGCACCATTTTTATAAGAACAAAATCAGCCTGGAAATATAAAATGTTCTTATAAAATGGATAAGACATTAACATGCCCTTCATGTTAGATGTATTTTCTTGTTCTGTTCGCTAGTTAACTGGTAATAAGGTTGATTTTCTTTTGCAGGCTAATTGTTACAATAATGTCACGATATTTATTAATTTGCTTTGTCATTAGATATGCTAATTTAATCTCAAGCAATTTTTTGCATTGTTACAGTTCTGAATTCCAACAACAAAATTTAAGAACAATTTAAGAACACCTTCAGGCTGATTTTTCACTAAGCACCCGATAAATAAGAATCTGATCAGCCTGGCCTCCAAAATCATGTGTTCTTATATGCGGGTGTTTACTGTATTATTTATTGCAAAAACAAGATTCTGCAATTGCAAGGTAACCAACAACTTGCTTTCAGATATTTAGAAATTGCAATTTCAAATGTATTCCAAAGCTGCCCACAAAATGGCCAAAAGTTTTAGGCCATAAAAAGCAGATTTGAATTGAAAAAATTTATTCCTCATTGTCACAATTTTTCCAAAAAATAATCACTTATGTTTGAATCATGAATATGGTATTTATGATATTGGTTTTCGACATATCCTACTGTTATAGAGGTTTATTGATTTTTTTTATTAAAATACAATTAGAGTTAGAATTTGTATGTATAGACATATATTCCACTCACACATTTGCATTCACCGGACATTAGAATACAGTTGTGTTCTTTGCAATGCCTTGTTTTAAGCACATTTGTTCATTCTGTGATTAAGTTTTTTTTAAATCTGATTTTTTGACTGTATGTATTTCTGTTGTACTTACCACCAAGGTTTTCTAAGTATTTCCATACTTCCATTATTTTGAGGTCACTTAGGTAGCTTTTCACTTCTTTAATTGAGAGGTGAGGACTTTGTGATGCTACAACTTCAAACATCACTTCTGACTTAGAACGGTATTCTGGTGACAAGTCTGTGGGAACCTTATTAAGCTCGGCCAAGTACTTCCAGTTCTTAACACCTTTGATAGATGTGTCCAAAGATTGGCAGATTGTTCCTTTCAAGGAGATTTTACTGTCCAGCATTGAAACCTTTGTATCTAAAAGGCAAAAACTAATGTCATCAAACAGTCATTCTTTTCACCCTAACATCAGTATGCATATTCTCCATAATGATCCTCTATACATTTCCTGAGAAAGAGTTTGGTTCCTGGAAGGTCATATCCAAATTTCAAAAATGATTTTTTATTGATACAACAATGCAGGAAGTACCAAGATTGAAAGGTACTTTTCACGTCCTCATGCAACCAAATTTTCATTTTTCGTGGAAAGCATCCAGGAGCTTGTTGTAAAAGTTAGGCTAACCATGGAATTTTACGAGGTTGAAAAAGTGTGAAGCTTGATCTAAAGGTTGTTCAGTACCTTCTTTAAGAGGAATTACTTCCGTCAAGCTTTGGCTCTGGTATAACTTAGTTTGTGTCCGTGGTGTCATCTCTGGTTGCTCACTGTGAGATCTCTGGCGCATGCGGTTTAAAGAACCACTGGTGTGTGAAGGATAAGACATCTCCAGTGGTTCACGTTCATTGCCACGAATTTGTCCTAGGTACGTCATTAGAAAGCATAAATGCAGAGTCATTAATCAAACTTTCCATTACAAACGATTATGTAGAACTAGGTGCATCATAGACTTACAACAGATTTACCGCAGAAAATGGAGAACGGTGTTAACAAGACAAAAAAAAATTAAGATTTAAAGTCTCCTGAAGTGCTGGACTGGTTTCTGCCCTTCCAAAGTGGATGAAAGAAACTTACGTTAATCCTGACCAAACAAGTAACAAAACCTCAGAGAGACTCATGTGAACTTGATTTAAATCGACCTTACAGCTAGAGCTTTTTCTGTTGAAGCACCAAAAAAAAACAGTAAAGCATCCCTTCCCCCGAAAATCTCGGTGCAGATTCTTACCGTTTTCTTCTAAATACAAATCTGGGTTTTTATCCCTTATGCTCTGGTCAAATGGAAGCATGAGATTCCCACCATTCTTGTTTCGATTATGATCTCCTTCGCGAATAGTATTCTTCTCCTTTGGACGACTTTCTTCGGTCAATCCGGCTTGGTATAGTGCACTGTAATCTACAAAGAAACGCATCAGACGGTTGTAATTATAGAATTACAATGTCTTTTAACTTACAGGAACAAATCACGACAAGACGTTGTTTTTACAACTTAACGTGCTTCCACTTAGTGAACGTCTGAGCAACTCGATAGCTAGATATTCGTGCACCTATTCTGTCTTTGCAATATCACATCATTGCTAAACTAGTACAAACAAACAAACAGAGCATTGAATGGGAGGATATGTAATTCATCGAAGTATGCATGTTAGCCTTATCCCACACCACCCTTTGGAAATTGAGTGTCAGTCGAAGCAGAGTTAACTCTGGTCGAAGTGACCTGGATGAACGATCTTCACCAACTGAAGCATCGATATACACTTTACTGTTAAATTCACATGAATTCATCAACTGCTAAACCGAACGGTTCACTTGCACTTATTGGTGCAACATACCTCAATCGAGTTATATTGAGGATAGTTTGATTTCCTTAGTTTACAGGTGCAATTTTTCTGACTTACATGTTTTCGATTTTTCCTCCTGATCGAGGCTTTTTTGACGGCCCCAATAATCATGGCAATGGAAAGAACAGCAACAAGAATTTTAAATTTATTATATCATGGCATACCTTGAAGATATCGAGGGAAAAAGAGTGGAAGGATCTGATCTCTGTCACCGAAAGCTAAAAATCCAACGACGCGTCCGTCTTCTTTTATTATTACCGAACCCATTGGTTTTTCTGTCATCTGAAAGTCTTCCAAAGTTTTTATTTTGGCCTTGTTGCCATAGGGGTGAAGGAAGAATAAACCAAAATCATCCAAAGAAAGGACGTAACTATTAAGATTAAACTTCTTTGTCGGGGGATCTTCTACAAGGACATGACAAAGTAACTCGTGCTTGGTGTTAGCTGACACTTTCACTACCACTTTACTTTCCTCCTGATAACACAATTGAGCACGATTAGGTTGCAAGTCATTGCTCTGAAATTGTGACAACTTCTTTTGCTTATGCAACTTTTCGATCGGAAAGAGGATGAGACTCAACTTTTGACCGGGAATAGGCATTTCAAAAAATGAACTGCATTCAAGGCTGAATTTTTCATTGCCGAGGTTTAGGCGATTCTTTGGCAAGAACTCCGCAGTCCAAGGTACGTCACAAGTTAGATCAGCTTTAGAAACAACTTGACTGGTAGTAGCAACGAATGTTTGGTAGTCGCCATGTTCGTCCGATATTGCCGTCTGACTTTGGTCGGACGAAATTTCCCTTAGGATTTGAGGATATGTTACGATACATCCACTCCCATTTGTCATGAAAACGTTTCCGTGGGCAAGTTTTCGGATTTTGCCAACGGAAAGGATAATATCTCCACTTCCCTGCCTGCCTTCCGCCATACTTTAAAAGGAGAGTGAGATTGGCGAAATGCGGAAACCAGCGGCGCAACAAATTCGTTAGAACGAGATGGATCATTTCCTGCTAGAGGGTTGGGCTAAAACTTTTGCATTTAATTTACCGACGACCTTGTTTCCACAGCAACACGTCATAAGTGGCGTGAATGGAAATTGTGGAAGAGAGGGAATTTATTTTGATGTTACATGTAATCATTGTTGAGAGACATTGAGGTAATTCCACAGAAAAGAAAAGACATTTAGAAATTCTGTGGTCATGTTCTAATCAGGCTTCCGGGCATGTCTCAAGGAGACTTCATGCCTGGCGTTAAGAACCTTATATCAAATTCCTAAAGAAAAGCTCCAACACAACTTTGCGTGTATTCGGTGTTTAAAAATGCCAGGAGATTGTTCAAAGAATTTTATGGGTTTTTTTTTTAGTGGACACATTTTTCTTAGCCTGCTGATGTCGGAAACGGCATCTAGAACTTTGAAGTGTCGAAAACCGAGCGATTTTACGGTAAACACAGGCTCGGAAAATTCTTCTTCCACAAAAGACAAAATAATTTCTAGAATCACTTGGCATTTCCAAACAAACTTTGAATATTCCCCTCAGGATTGAATTTCTGACTACCGGGCATTTAGCCTACTTGAGACCAATCCGTAGAATTTCTAAGTGTCGACAACCGAGCGATCCTTTGAGTAGTTTTTGTCCATTCAAATAACAATAATATTGTTTGGAATGGCTCGATATTTCTAAACAAACATCTGATACTCCTGAGAAATTTGAAAGAACCTTTCAGTGGAAATTCTGTGAAAACATCTGAATGTTGTGCATTTCGCAACATTGGAAACCTGTATTTATCGATTAAATTAGGTTTGCTGTGCCAAAAAGTGATTTATTTGTCCTCGTTCAGTCTATCCGAGAAAGGTTTTCGTCTAGACCTCGTCAATTATTTTATTTGAAGGAATATTCTAGAAAAGGAATATTTCAAATAGCGGTTTAAAAATAGCATACCTTTGAGGTAATTTGGTAAAAGAAATAAACGGATCTTATCTGTAGCACTGAACGAGAAAAATTCAACCAAGTATCCGTCTTTGTTTAAGATGACCTAGTCCTTTGGTCTCTGATCGATGGAAGTCGTCTAACATTTTCAGTTTAGCTTTGTTGCCATGGGGGTGTAGGTAGTACGAACCAAGTTCGTCAACAGAAAGGACGTAACATGCAGTGTGAAACTTTCCTGATGTAAGACGGCCAAAACGGTCGACGTAAGAACAAAAGATCCGAGGGAAGATTTACAAGTTTATTACACAGCAGATGTAACGGTACAAAAAAACGGGAACGAGTGACACTAAACAATAAATAAGAAAACAAAGCTCCAATGAGCTAAATGATGTAACAAGATTAAAATGGATTAGGAGAAAGTACTTAACACTAATGGATAGCCTACAGACAGAAACAATTCAGTAAAAGAAAAGAAACAAACAAAGTACTTGAAAACAGGAAATTGTGTAACAGAAACTATCAAAAATAGTGATTGCTACACGAGGCATGAATTCAACAAAGACTACGAGCTAGGCTTAATATTACAACTTGAGCTAATACAGTATAAAACAGTGAAAGGGGAAAATGAAATTACTATTGTAATGAACCCATAATTTGGTACTGAAAACACAGGAATCATAGCAACAATGAATTGGAAGCAGGTAAGCAAAATATTACAGCTACTAATACCAAAACAATTACAGTTTATATAGCAGAGAAATTGCATGCTGAGTGACAAAGGTCAGAGTAAATAGTTAAAATACAGTAGTAAGGTAAAAGGAATATGTGGCTAAACTAAGCAGATTCTAACCCGAAAATCACTACAAAAATACAAATGGAAACAACTACATGCTAAGCTTAGGGCTCAAACAAACATAAAATACTGAAACATACCAAAAGCTAGTATAGCTCGGAATCCGCTTTAAAGGCACTCTCAGGAAGGCAACAAATCAACTGAACTTACCGAGCAATCGGTTGTAACTTATAGTAAAATACAGGAAAAGGTAAAAATAACTTTAAACCAAATTTGGGTCAGGAGCGGTCAACGAAACAGGAATTACTAAGGGAAATCGGTGTTTACTGAGTTACACAACAGGACAAGGGTAGGTACTGGAATAATACATCAACACATTACTAACATTTCTGAAAAATCGCTAAAATTCTAGAAAATAAAATAAACAGAAGAACAAACATGTTTTAAGCAGAAAATAAGTCTAAGTGACTCTGTCACACTGACATCATCTTACCAGGACTTAGAAATATGCTCAATCTTGTCAGCCAAAGCTTTCACTTCAGCTTCACTTTGCGCTTGATAGCATGATTGGGATCGATTTGATGGAAATTCACCTTTGAATCCGAATCAATAGCGAAAACCACATTTGTATGGGTAATGATTCTGTTGAAATTGAGGTGAGACTTGACGCTTCATCGGAAAAAGGCATTTCCATGAACTCGACACCGTCAAGGCTGAATTTTTCAGTGTCGCATTTATACCACGTGTCTGGCAAGAATTCCACACTCTAAGGTGTGCCAGAGGTTAAATCAGCTTTGGAAACTACTTTACTGGTTGTAGCTACACGTTTGGTATGTTTTTTGATCGACCGACGCGGCCTCCTGACTCGAGTCTACAGTAAATTACCTTTTCTCGTCATGGATCCTTTTTAGTCAAGATTTTGTTCCAATCTTGGTCTTCCACCTGACGTACAAAAGGCGGCTACACATATCGCATGGAGGGCGGTTGACTTAGATTTAGTGCACGGGTAAGTTTTTTACTTTCTTCAGTACTACTGACTCAACATTAGTTTATGATACAGATTGATGCTGGTAGGAAAAAATGTAATCTATTGGTGCAGAATTATATACTATGCGGTACAAGTCTTTGCGAGTGACAGAAGAGAGTATCGTAATGGGAAATGAATGTTCGAGCCAATTAGATGTAGGGCTGGAAGGTTAAGGTTAGTCGAGTGAGAGATTGAAATCAATGGTCTTTCTTTTCTTTGTGGATTGCGGAGAATGACTATGTAAGAAGTGATGTTTAGTTCAGTTTATTAGCTTCGCCGTCCGGCAGGGACACCGCAACAGCACGCGCCAATTACTGCGGACCCAATAAACCCACCCATCCCACCGAGAAGACTAGAATATCTAACCATTTCTTTATGTTATAGAAAGGCAGCAAATTCTTCTCAATTATTTTAACACCCTGAGTGTTGGTCCGGCCGGGGCTCGAACCCTCGACCTCCCGCACAACAGTCCAGCGCTCTGTCCATTTGAGCTAACCGGGAGGCGGTTAGCTCGATATGATCTGCACGGTAAAACCAGGTTTTATTCGTTAATTTTCTCTTTTTTTTTTAGCAAACTCTGAAACGGTTATGGCATCGTTACTTTTTTCTTTTACCAATTATTTTTATTTACATTTATTGAGCCTCTCAATGGGTACCCACGATCTTCGTTTTCGCGATTTTTTTGCAAATCTTCGCTTTTTCATTTAGGAAGATCTCTTCGTTTTTCGGATTGAAATGGTTTAAACCTTTATACAGTGTTATCCACAGTTGATAAATATTTCAGTTCAATAGCAAATTGCATAACTCACTGTTTAAATTCACGAAAAGCAATTTAAATAGTTATTGAAACAATGAAGGATTGATGGATTCTTTGGTGACGTTCTGTTTGTTCAGTGTCCTATGCTATTTACGACATTTAAAGAGTGGTTTCTTTATGCGATCCCACAAGCTCGTAGCTTGAACACACACAATTCACCTGTTGACTTGAAATGAGGGTTATTTTACCCTCCCACCTTTTTATTATCAGTGGACTATTTTTGTCGTTTAACCTGCCATCTTCAAGTATCTTAAATGCTGAGGAGTAACATTTACTTTACGGATACAACGCTATTAATTTTTTTTTTTAATTAGATTCGCCGACAGGCAGGGACATCGCAACAGCTTGCGCCAATTACTGCGAGCCCAGTAAACCCACCCATCCCACCCCAGGGCAGGACATCCATCACACAGTAATCTCGTGCGTGGG